GAACCTCCTCTGGAGCCGCCTCCAGAACCATATCCTCCTCCAGAGCCGGAACCTCCTCTAGAGCCGCCTCCAGAACCATATCCTCCTCTGGAGCCGCCTCCAGAACCGTAGCCCCCTCCACTGCCACCTCTGGAGCTGGATCCTCTGCCTCCAGAGCTGTAACTGCCACTTCCAGAGCTGTAGCCTCCTCCTCCAGAACTGGATCCTCTACCTCCAGAACCATAGCCTCCAAAGCCGGCCCTGGATCCCACGCTCGAAGACATGGTGCTGCTGCTCACAGCTGCAGAGAGAGATAGTGTCCTCATGGAAATTCTGACTGCCTCGACCTGCGTCCTCCCATTACACCACCATGGCACAGGAACACCCCACTACTTACACACAGTCACGTTGCTACTGAGGTCTCCAGACATCCTGTCAGGGAGAGAGAAAATTGCTCATGGTGGGGCCCTTAGACTCTGTGTCCATATTGTTCTAGAGCTTCCACCTGCGAGCGTGCACCTTGACCATCAGCCACCAGGGCCTTCCAGAGCCCCCTCTCTTCTGTGCTGCCAGATCACAGAGATGGGCAGGCCCCACGTTTGTCCACAAGGCTTAGCAGCCCAATGCATGCCAATTTTTTGCTCTGATGAAAATGACCAAAAGGCAAATTCACTTCTGATTTGCAACCCATTTTTGAGTTTAAATCCATGATACTGAGTCTGATATTCTGAACCCAAGCCATGCTAGAAATTTTGAAACAAGGCTGCACTGCGAGCATCCAAATCAGAAAGAACTACAACTCTGTACAGCCTCCCCATTCTACCGTCCTGCCCCCGCCTCCTCAGCTGCATCAGAAATCTCTCCCACTTCTTCCTGCAGGCTGGGCATAGGAGGCATGGCCTCGAAGACAGGTGCAGAGCAATAGCCTAAGCAAAGCGGCTCCTTCCCTGTCATCCTGGCTTGCTGGTGGCCTGGGGTAGCTTGTCCCCTTCCGGTTGCTTCAGCCAGATGAAATCACTGGGGATGCTACTACCACGGACAAAGGGCTCAGACAAGGTCCTCAAACAGAGGAAGGAAAGGTTCCCTTTGGGCGGTTAGCAAATGATTCAGTTTGTCACCCAGGAAATCTGCACAGAACCAGGTCTGGCACCTGCTGCCGGGGAACAGCCAGCCAGTCAGGCCTCAGCCAGTCAGCACCTTCCAACGTGGTCCCCGGGCTCCGGGTCACAAGGTGGAGGGAGAAGACACCATGCACCCTGCTTACCCATAAGCCAATGTTTCAGGCTGTCTAGGACTAACCTGTTTTCACAACATTTTATTTTCTCTTTCAGAAAAAAACAAGATTAACTTATTGCTTAATTTAATCTGCCTTGATAGTCGTTCTGTATTGATAAATCTACAGCTGTATACTAAATGCTTTGGGTCGTGAATGGCTGCTTGAGGAACATCGTGATGTCAGCTCTCAGCTGTCAGAAGGCCCTGCTCCACCCCCAGCTTTCCCTGCCTTGGCCTGCCGCCCTGGTCCTAGGAGAGGGCGGCTTCTGCCTTCCCAGCGCCCCGCACCTGCACTCCTCGCCCTCCAGCAGCTTGCGGTAGGTGGCGATCTCCACGTCCAGGGCCAGCTTGACGTTCATGAGCTCCTGGTAGTCACGCAACAGCCGGGTCAGATCCTCCCGGGCCTGTTGCAGGGCAGCCTCCAGGTCAGAGAGCTTGCTCTGAGCATCTTTGAGGGCGTGCTCTCCCTTCTGCTCAGCATCTGCGATGGCTTCTTGCACACTCTTACACTGGGAGTAGAGGGAAAAAAGGTTTCTGTTGGTCTGGAGAGTGGAGTCTGCCTGGCACCGGGGGAGGGGGAGCGGGTGTGTTCAGGGTGTGGGAAGCCAGACTCACTGGCCCTGGAAGGGTTGGGTCCCTCCGGAGTTAATGCAAGGCACAAACAATGATGCTAAGGCCTGTTGTCATTTCTGGAGCATCGTCTATCAGTCACCTCTGCCTGGACCCTTACGCTTTCCCCGTAATGAGCTTTGTCCTCACAACACAGGGCATTATCCCAGCTTACAGCTGCAAATGAAAACATCCGACATGGACCACTTCACAGAACGTCTCTGCCCCTGGAGTCAACTCTCTGCCCCACATTGTCTCTTCCAAGCTAACCCCCACCGGCTGGCCAGCTCCCTGCTACACCCACTGCCCCACCACCACACCACTGCCCGTGCTTGGGGCCGGTGCCAAGCACAGAGGCCGAGCTCCGCCTCCAACCCCCCCCCCCAGCCAGATGACCTTGTGCTTTACTTGTTATCATTCTCTTTCATTTATGGAGGCAATCCGAAAGGTAACACACTTCTTTCCCTGCCCTAATCCTCACTTTGGAATGTCTCTTAGACCACCATAAAAATTGTTACAAGCCTTAAATTATGTTATGCTCGAGATGTTTGGCATCAACATATGCTAGATTAGAATTACTCAGTTTCTCCTCTCTCTCTCTCTCTCACACACACACACACACACACACAAACACACACTCACACACTCCCACCCCCCCCCACACACACCCATACACGACCTCCGCCCCCCAGCAAGCCCCACTCAACCCCTGGAGCTGCACAGCCCTCAGAGCTGTGCCCACCTGCTTCTTCACGTGGGCGATCTCCCCTTGCAGCCTCTGGATCATGCGGTTCAGCTCACTGATCTCCATCTTGACCTCCTTCAGGCTGTCTCCGTGTTTCCCCGCCATCACCTGGAGCTCTTCATACTGTACGGGAAGAGGAGGACAGTGGCATCTTGGAGGAAGCCTGGCTTGAGCCAAGGAAAGTCTAATACAGGGTGGGTCAACCAAGCTGCCTTTGTGAGCGGTGGGGGACTGTCTCACATCCCCAAAAGGACTCGGTGCCATTCTCAGTTGAGGGCAGTTTTGGTCCTGTGGACACTCTTGCTTGGGAATGATGCCCAACTTCCATTAGACAAAGACACCCGTCAGCTCACTGGACACTTTCCAGCCGAGGTGAAACCCAGCTTTTTAGACAAAGCTGTGGTTCTCTCTGCTCTCCGCGTACTTGCCTTGCTGTGGTACAGCGCCTCGGCCTCGGCCTTGCTCTTCTGGGCGATCTCCTCGTACTGGCTGCGGACCTCGGAGATGATGCTGTCCAGGTCCAGGCTGCGGTTGTTGTCCATGGACAGGACGACGTTGGTGTTGGTGATAGTCTGCTGCATCTGGGACAGCTCCTGCAACACGACGCGAGGTCTGGCCATGGCTTCCCTGACCATAGCCAGGGCAGTGAGGAGGCATCCCCCTCCCCAGAGTTAGGGAAATACAGACTCTCAGACTAAGCTGAGTGGGATACGATGGGTGGGATGAAAGCGAAATAACCACCAATCCTCGCCCTCTGCCGAGGGTGTCCAGAGAATGATGGGAGAGGAGTCTATTTCTGAGCCCCCTGCTGGATAGCCTTCACCATGTAGACAATGTTGATAAGTTTGATGCCCCCAGAAAGAAGCATGTGGATGACAAATGTTTCGGAAGATGTGTGTACACATGGGCACAGAGGGGAGGTCTGAAGCACGTTAGACATAGGGATGGGAAAAGGACAGCTCTCTGCCTAAGGGCAGCAGGACATTTGAGGAATGAAGTGAAGGGAATTTGTCCCGGGTTTCCTGAGCCTTCCTTCATCAGAGAAGATAGTTCTCTCCTCCAAGACCTACACCCCCAGAAACCCCTAGTGTCCTGGAATGGTGGCAAGTGGGAGTCAGTCAGTCCATAAACCCCACTCATCCCACCTTTTCACCCATTGGGAAGGACTGCTTTGATGGGAAGAGTGAGAAGCAAGGGTCTCTCCAGGAGCAGCCTCCTTACCGCCTCAAAAAGGAATTTAATGAACTCAAGCTCCTCGGTCAGCACATCTGTCTTGGCCTGCAGCTCCACCTTGGTCATGTAGATATTGTCCACATCCTGCAGAAAATGTGAGGAGTTTCTGGAGAAACTCATGCACGGCTCAAGGTATGGGCCCCACCCTCTCTCCGTGTCTCTCTTCCACCCAGTCCCTGTCAGTGGCTCTCCAACGTCCCAGGCATCTCAGCTGAGTCATGTCTCCATGGGACATCATTTGGCACAGAGTCCACAATGTATCTCGACTACGGGCCAGGTGCCCTCGTTCACTGCTCACGTTCCTCAAGACCATCAGAGCTCAGGCGGGACGAGCTTTGTCAACCATTCTCTCCCTCCTGCTTGAGACACTGTGTGTTCCTACTATGGAGCCTAATGGCCTCTGTGGCTTTTAACAGCCCTCAACTCTCCCTCCTGTCTGTCCATCCCACCTCACCCGAACTTCTCTGGATTTTACACCAAAGCTTCTGCAGGAACTGGGCTGAGAAGTCACATCTCTGACTTCTAGCCCAAACTCGTCAGCACAACCGACAACAACTTTAGGCATTCTAAGGGAGGTCCATCCCTTCCTCAGCTCTTTAGAAGACAACTGAAGTGCTTTCTGTGTTTGCATCTTGCAGGGCCCAACATAAACTTGAAGGAGGTTATTGGTGAGAATGCTCCAGCAAATCTGCATAGCAGCTCCAGAAGCTTGAACTGCAGAGAAACTTTTGTTTTCAAGAGAATCAGCGGAGGACCTGCTTCACCCTTTTCCCTTAGTTACTGCTGTTTCCACTCAGAGTTGTTCTCCAGCCTGTCTGCCTGGACCCGGTGGGCTTCTGAAGCCTCCTCAGTCCCACCCAGCCATGACATTCTCTTGCTCACCTTTTTAAGGGTCACAAAATCATTCTCGGCAGCTGTGCGCTTGTTGATTTCATCCTCATACCTGTGGGGACCCGGGGACACAGCTGTTAGATCAGTTCTACTTTGTTTACTTTTTTCTTTTCCTTTTCCTACTGGACTCACCCCCAAATCCTCCACTCTCTAAGAGTATAAAACACTCCTTCACTCTCCAAAGGGTAACTATGATGTCCCAAATAAGGATGCTTTTCTATAAATTAACTCCCAAACATGTGAAGAAAACATGATCTCTAAAGCCCTCAATGTCTTCCTTACAAATAATCGGCACACACAAATTATCACCACAAATGCAATGGGGACATGAGTGGCCTCCTGGGGGAACAACCGGATGGCTACGATCAATATTTATTCGGTATTTACTCGGCCACCTACTTCTTCCTAAAATCCTCAACAAGATCCCGCATGTTGTTCAGCTCTGAATCTTGGGATGTTCGTTCTGCAGAGAGCGCATCCACGTATTTCTTCAGTTTGGCAATGTACGCTTGAAAGATGGGCTCCAGGTTGGTGGTGCGCGTGCTCACATCCAGCTGCTGCAGCAGCTCCCACTTGGTCTGTAGCACCTGGTTCTGCTGCTCCAGGAACCGCACCTATGGGGACCAGAGGAAGAGCACAGGAGCTCTGGGTTGCCCTTCCCACCAGCGGGACTCATTTGCCAGAGACAGCTCTGACCCTGCTTCGGGACATAAAGAAGTCTACTCGGCTTTGTGCTCCCAAGCTGGATGCCGGATCCAGCTCCAGCTCCCTGCCTCCACACTTAGAAAGTTCTATAGACTCCTAATGTTACATCTGGTACTTCCCTCACAGAGAACTCTTTTTCCTACTTCACTGCCCACTATCTTGTTTGCAGCTGCTCCCGAGACTCCAGGCCATTTCCCTCTCCCATCCTAGTTAAATTCCCAGCAAAAGTGCCATAAAGTCTTGGGCAAACCAAAAATAGGCGTCCACTGGCACTGCTCCTAAAGGTGCTGAGTGTGAGAGCACCGCAGGGCAGGGCTCCTCGGTCTTACTTTTAAGAGCCTCATAAATCTGCCTTGAAATAGGACAAAACCCTGTAATGCTCAAAAGTGACACCAATAAAGACTTTACGGGTCACCAAACTGAGAATGCTTCTCTTGAAGGCAGGAATTTCATTCATCCCCAAGCAGGTTCAGCTTCCCAGAACTTAAAAGAGTAATGACTTCCAGGGAAGGAAAGACTATCTCAGAAGATGTCTTACCAACAACTTCTTCCAACACCTGCTGCCACTTGGCCTGAACTATTCAGTCCATTACTTGTCTATATCAGTCTTCCCATGATTTTCAGAATTTTCCATAAATTTTACTTATTTAGGCTGAAACAATAAAGCCAAAGGCATACATAATTCCTAACTGCAGACTGTTTCAGAAGACGCAGCCCAGGAAGCCGGCCTCTTTCCCATTTGGGAAATAAGCCAGGCTAGTTTGACGACACCAAGGGCTCCTAAAAGAAACAGGAGTGTTTCCTATGTGTTGTTTCCTTTCCAGTGAGTAGTGGAAGTAGGGCATCCTGAGCATCAGATGGAGTCAACTTCTCATGACTCACCTTGTCAATGAAAGACGCAAATTTGTTGTTGAGCGTTTTGATCTGCTCCCGCTCCTGAGACTTCACGTTCTGGAACTGTGGGTCAATTTTCACGTTGAGAGGCTGCAGGAGGCTCTCGTTGATGGAGACTTCGTGGATGCCTCCACCAGGGAATCCTCCAGGCCCACCGCCGCCAGGACCCCCAAAACCTCCAAAGCCACCGCCACCTCCAAAGCGGCCTCCTCCAAAGCCACCGCCGCCAAAGCCGCCACCTCCAAAACCGCCTCCTCCAAAGCCGCCTCCACCGAAGCCGCTGCCTCCTCCGAAGCCGCTGCCTCCTCCGAAGCCACCTCCTCTGCCACCAAATCCACCACCGGAGCCAAAGCTTCCACCTCCTCCAGCCACACTAATGGAGATGCTCTTGGTGCCTCCAAGGCCAACAAGACTCCGACTGCCAAAGCCGCCAACGCCGTAGCCCCCTCCACCACCACCATGGCGGCTCAAGCAGGAGAAGCTAGTGGCCGATCTCCGGCTCCCACCGGAGAGCACCGCTGAGCCGCTGCTAAAGCCCCGGAATCCTCCTCCTCTTCGAGATCTGCAGGAGATCTGACAACTCATGATGCCTCTGCCCAGCGAGGAAAATTGAGGTTTCCAAGACGAGTTAAGGCTGGAGACTATGCTCTGCTGTCGGGAGACAGTCAGGGTCCCCTTTTATACCTGCCAACTAGGTGTTGGTGTGCATGGGTGTGGGCACACTTATGCGTGGGTTTGGTCTGCCTGGAAGCTACGCCTGGTTAGTGATTATCAAGCTAATAGCCATTAAAAGTCTGCTAATCAGCTCTATCCCCAAACTTGCTTTGACTGCAAACTTCTGTTTATCTGGGCATCTGTCATGCAATTCGATTTTTGTGAAATCATCAAAAGAGGAGATCAGAACATGGGTTTCTCAATCTGAAAGAAAGACCTTCTGCAGAACGCTGTTCCCTGCTCTGGACCAATCCAAAGGAGGGCAGCTACCACCGGGCCTGTGCTGGCTTGCCACCCGGTGAGGCTGATGAAAGAGGCGACAGGTTTATTAACTACAGGGGCCCCTCAGTAGCAGCTTCAGAGTCCTTGCTTCTCCCTCTGCTCCAGGAAGAGTGTCAACAAGTGCTTTTGGGGAGTACAAATGCAACGTGGGCAAGTATGCATACTCTTACAGAAAGAAGTTGGCCTAGGATGCTTCAAAAGAGTTGTCATTTTTCAAAATACCTTGACTCCTTCCCATACCACACCAGGAGAACACAAGAGCCAGTCACTGAGGAGAGGAGAATTCTCTTTCTTGTAACTAGAAGTCCTTACAGCTATCAACCCTGTCATTTTTCGACATGAAAACCCAGAGGCTGAGGGACTTAGGGAAAGCCTCTCTATTCCTGGGTCTGTCTGACTCTGGGCACCCAACAAAAGGTTGCCATCAAAGGCTTTCCGTAACTCTGAGGTCCAAGTGTATATTGATGTAACCAGTCAGTAATCATGTATTATCGGGTGATTCTGCTAAGCAGCCAGGAAGTCCGACTTTTCAAGATCACCAGGGAAGGATGAGTATCAGAAAACCCATCAAGTCACCAAATGCAGAGAGAGCATCCACTCCTAAGCTCAATCACAGTCCTTCTTTTGCCTGTGTGGCCAGGCACGTGAGTACTGGAATGGAATTTAAGGTCAGATGATCTCAGTGTGAGTCCCAGTTTGCGATTTCCTGGCTCTGTGACTTTCAATTCAACATTGAGGCTCTGTACTCTTAGCTATAAAATGAAAAATTCATGCAAAGTGTTTTGAAAACCATGATATGATACAAATGTTAGATATCACTACTATTTTGGGTGAAGCAAAGCTATCTCCTTCTCCTTCCTGGTGCTAAGGCCGTGCATTCCACGTAGGCCCATGAGTTACAGAACCAGGATTTCTCAGGGCACAGGACAGAGAGAGCATAAAATAACATAAAAAACCTAAGTTTTGAGTTTAAGTCTCAGTTTCACTGTATTTTAGCTAAATGACCCTGGGTCATTCAAAATGCTCTTTGAGCCTGAATTTCCTCATTTCCAAAAGCGAATAAGAAGAAGAGTATGGCAATTGCAAAAACAGAACAGAACATGTACCCATGTGCCAAATGCAGTTCCTAGTTAGTAGCAGAAACTCAAGAAGTGTCATTTCCCTTCTCCCAGCCCCTCCCCGCCATCTCCGATCCTGTGTCTTAACTACATGGCTGGAGCAGGGATGAGGGTGAAGAACAGGGAGCTAGCTGTTCATGCTACTTGGTTTGCAATAAGACAATGCTGAAGGAAGCAAACCCATGTGTCTCCTTGATTTTTTTTTCCCCAATCTGGCTTATATAATCATAATCATGCAAATAAATCCTGAGGCTTAAAGCTTAGGAGAGAACCTCAATCCAAAGTCAAACGTGTCCTTATCTGTGGATATCTGAACCACACCCTAATTGTCAATTACTCCACCATGACTGAGTCCAGGCCACGCCAGCTTCAGGGGCATCTTAGTCCCTCTGTGAAGGAAAGGAAGGGACATTTATTGAGCATCTACTATGCCCCAGGCTTGTGCCGGGCACACAATCTGCATGTGTTCCTGCTCTATGATTCTCCTTTTACTCCAAGTCTCCCTTGCCATTCTCTCCACTGGGCACCTTCTCTTTCTAGACCCATTTGCCAGTTTTTGAAAGTCAAGTTGAAGATGGAGAGTCCTCCTTTTCCCTTGAAATGTGGAGGGTAGAATTAAGTCAACTTCGATGTCATATACCATTTTACTTCCACTTTACCTTTTACATAATCTCCATGTGCTTAAATATTAGTTAACACTTTATTTCCGTATTTTTAAACTTTATCTTTTATGTCATTTCAGTGTGCTCAGCCAGATAACATGTCCCACATTCTCTAAGGGAGTGCAGTGGGAGTGAAGACTCAGTTCTGGCTGTGATTTGGTGGCTGACTTCCCCTGTGATCCTCAATGCCTTCACCTATAAAATGGGAACAATATCCCCCACAGAGATACTGACCTGTTGGTGTAATGGGTTTTAAGCTTTGCTGCCTCTGATAACAGAAAAGGGATCATCCTGTAGGACAAAATCCTTCTTTCAACAAGCTGCCAGCAAGCACAGACCCCTAAATGCTTTCCCTCATAAGTTTTCAAAAGCCTCTAACCTGGCCAGTGGAGCAGAAAGGCAAGCCCCCAGTGTGAAGGGAACTATTCAGCCAGTGAGAAATACACATGGATGCTGAGGGCAGACTCTCCTGGTAAGACTGAATCCCCTCTGCCCACACTCCCTTTACCTCTCTCAACAGCCCGTCTCGTCCTCCCTGTGCTGCAAGCCACATCCCTGGACGTGAGCCAGGGTCACATTCATTTTTACCCCAAACCTCCAATCCCTCAGCACAGAGCAGTCATTCACAGAATGGGCCTAAGGATCCAAAAATCATGCTTAGGGTTTGGGATTGGGAATTGGCAGCCTTCCCTGACATGGAAATGTGATGCGAGCAGTGCTTGAGTCTTCACAGCCTGCCCTGCACCTGTTCCCCAAAGATCCCACCTGGACCTTGTCTCAGGCTTCTGACTCAGCCCCGTCAGGGCGGGGCTCCCCTCCACAGGCCAGCAAGGTGAATGTCTCCTTCCAAGGACTCAAAGAATCGCTGAACCAAGCTGCCGAGACCAAGTGCTTGGATTTCAAAAACAAAACCAACAACAAACCCTCCTCTTCCAGTCCCGGCTGCTGAGTTTGGGGTGCTCTAGGGGCTAACAGCCATACAGAGCCCAGTAACATCAAAAAGTTCAGAAAGGGGCGCCTGGGTGGCTCAGTCGTTAAGCGTCTGCCTTCGGCTCAGGTCATGATCCCGGGGTCCTGGGATCGAGTCCCGCATCGGGCTCCCTGCTCGGCGGGGAGCCTGCTTCTCCCTCTCCCACTCCCCCTGCTTGTGTTCCTGCTCTCGCTATGTCAAATAAATAAATAAAATCTTTAAAAAAAAAAAAGTTCAGAAAGCCCTCAAGCTGGAAACAAGCCATCCGCAGGCCAGCCTGCAGCAGAGACCTGGAAAGGCAGCAGATGTTCCTTCCCCATCCCCGCACGGGTTGCTAAGCAGGGCATACTCCATCAGAGTGTCTAGATGGGGGCTCAGGGGCCAAAGGAAAAGTGGGACAGGGGGCTTACAGGCTCTTAGCAGGAGCCACTTGCTCAATATCTCCCCTGGGATACTTTATTACCAATGAATATCTTAACTCTGCTCACTCAGTCACTAGTCCCAGGGTCATCCATTGCAGCCCGGACCCCTCCTTTCCTACCTTTTTCGGGTTTGTTTGTTTGTTTGTTTGTTGTTTTTGTTTTTTAAAGATTTTATTTATTTATTTGACAGAGAGACACAGCGAGAGAGAGAACACAAGCAGGGGGAGTGGGAGAGGGAGAAGCAGGCTTCCCGCCGAGCGGGGGAGCCCGATGCGGGGCTCGATCCCAGGACCCTGGGACCATGACGTGAGCCGAAGGCAGACGCTCAACGACTGAGCCACCCAGGCGCCCTGTTTGTTTGTTTTTGCCATGAACCCCATGGCTATTGATTCGAAGGCGTCCTGGCCAACCTGGTTGGAACTGAGAAGCCAAGCTGGTGGACAGCCAGGCACCCACAGCATGAAGTGCCTAACATTCCACTGTGTGGACTCCATTTTGGAATGCAGAGTCCTTGGAACATACCACGTAACAGGCTTATCAGGAAATCAGAGTGTGCCCACTGCTCGGAAGCGGCGTAGACCCCAGAAACAGTAGGGTAAGGGCAGGGACACTGCCCAGGACACAGCAGGGCCTCATCGCATATGCTGCTGGAACTCCAGCACACCATCACGGAATGAAGCCTCCAGCATAGCGCCTGACCCGCAGGAGGCACTCAACAATATCACTTCCTTTCCAACGGCTGTGGCCATAGAGGTCACATGTAGTTCTCCTTTTTCTACTTGGGAATTTTCTAATTCCCAGGAGACCTGCTCCAGACAGTGGGAGGTTACCCCTCCCTGCTTCGTTCTCCACCGGGTTAGTGCACAGCCCCGTGAGCTCAGTTCTGTCATGGCTACCTGCGCCTCACAGGGACAGGTGTCCAGGCGCGTCCGGGCCGTCTGGTTAGTGATACCACTCCGACACGTCTGCCTGTGTGTTCTCACCTGCAACACGTCTTCACTCACAACACAGAGAGCCGGAAAATGGGTCTTCATGGAAAGTGCTTGCTGTCCCCAGCCCCAACCCTCGTTCCGGCCTGTTTCCCAGACCACGTTTTCCTCCCATGCTGACACCAATGTTCTTACTCTTGCCCTTCAACCGTATAGCCATGCCAGCATGGAAGGACAGACAGCCATCAGATAGTCCCTCCCACTCTGGCTGCGATTTCAGGAAAGCGGGGGCATCATCGGTACACCACTCGGGCCTTCCTCACAGTTCAGAGATTCCTCCAGGCTTCCCCAGATTTAATGCTGCCTCCTTCTTCCCCTACCCCTCACTGTCGGGGTGCCTTCCTGCTAATTTGGTATGACACTGCTGTCATTCGCCCTCAGCGCCTCTACCTGGATGCCTGCCCTTTCTTCAGCAGTGCCCCATCAAG